CATCTCATGATCTCTTGGAATGTCACATTATCAGCTTTAAAAATTGACACTGTCCTGGCTTTAAAATTTCAAGGGCTTACAAAGAGAACGGTATTTAAATGATTATCTATTTTCTTAACAGATTCCATTGCTGTTGTGAAACTTTACATCTCCCAGTGGCAAGTCGACGTAGTTTTCCACCTGTCCAAGTGGGTAAATTGATTGTCTAGAGCTACAATAGGTGAATTTGTTGAACTTTGTAAAGATAAACAGTGGGCCAGCTCCTCAGCTAATGTAAATTGATGTAGCTGTACTGACTTTAATGGAGCCATGACAATGTACATCAGCTGCGGAAATGGGCCAATATTTATCACTATGTTTTTGTTTGGTTTTAGGAAAAATATATTTCCTTCTGCATTGACTTTCCTCTTAGTTATTTGTCCCAACACAATATTCAGGAGTGAACACATACAACTTCAAAAATGGGGATAAAGGCAACAAAGGCACTACCAAACTTACCTACATAGAGTCTGGTTCACCACCATGTTATTCTATTTTTACACCACTGGATGGGGTGAAACTGGAATAACATATGGATAAATCAGGACCATCATTTCCAGTGCAAAGTGATGTCAATACAAAACAAAAGAACCCAATTCCTGAAGCCAATGGGAATTTTGTTTGAGTGCTAGGCTCTCAGAGAGATTTTTCAACAGTATTCTCTCACTCTCGCTTTCCTTCCTTCCCATATCTTCATCTTCTCACTTCTCCTTTCTGAGCAATTTCCGCTTTGGTCTTTCTTTTCTGCCCTCTTCATCTCCATTTCTGTCTCCTTCCCCTTTTTTCTTCTCTGTTTACATCTCTCTCTCTCACACACCTCACTCTTTTATCTCTGTCTTTTTATATTTGTCTCTCTTATGTCCTTTCCTGGTCTCCTCTACTTTCAGGATTGCCAAGGAGCAGAGATTTACTGGGATTTTGCTAATAAAGCTTTTTCCCTGTAGTCCAAGCCCTAGTGTGAAATTGACCAGGGCTATGTTTGTGACTCTAGTCAATTTCACACAGCTACCAGCACCAGGGGAAAAACTTTAGCAAAATTGTATGATCTAAACCAGTTTCATACTACAGCCAACTCCTTAAGAAAACACCACTGCACAAGAGCATTCACTGAAGGCAAATGACCAAGACTTCAGCATTCCAACAGGAGGCAGTTCCCTATGTGTCCCCTGCTACTGTATTATATTTGAAAAACAGGGGTTTTTTTTCACTTTCTGTCCTGATTTGGGGGTTCTGTGATTTCCTTACCACAGCTTATTTCATCACAGCCACCTAGAGAGATGCTGAGAACACAGAAAAAGGGCTGCTCTTGTGTTATAGGTGCTTTTAGCACTTTGACATCCTTAGATAAAAGATGACAGAGAACTAGAAAATATATGCACCTTCATCTAGTACCTTTCATCTGAGGGCCTCAAAATTTTTCACCTCTGAGGCAAATAAGTATTATTATACAATTTTTACAGATGGGGAAACTGAGTCACAGAAATTAAGGTCCCATCTACACTATGAAAAATCTAGCATATTGTGGAATTAGCTTACATATGTCATTTCCAACACAGTTCAGCATTATATTGTAGAAGGGACCAAATCAGGCTTCAGCTTTGTTTGTAAATCATATTATAAAGGACTTGATCACTTGAACCTCATGGCCTGAGATAACTCCCAATTAAAACACTGCGATCCTGTCCACAGACTTTAATGGGGGGGCCTTCGGGGTCTTGGATCCCGACCCTCAAAGTTATTTATTTTCCGATCTTCCATTGATTTCAATGGAAACTAGGAGCCTTGCCTAAATACCTTTGAGGATCTGGGCTTTGTGAGTTGGACAGCAAATGGTCTAATTTGTCAGAAGATCTGAGCACTGACAAATTCCATTTAAGTCAATGAGATTGGCAGGTGTTCGGCACCTTTGAAAGTCAGTGGCAGAAACAATTAGAACTCAGATTTCCTGATTAACAGGCCTGCACTCTGCTATTAGGGCATGCTCTCTCCAGGAGTGGTAAAGGAACTGATTCACAAATATTGGGTTTTAAATGTAAAAATATTTATAATTGTCATAATAGGGCCGGTCCTACTTTCCTTATGCCAGCTCCCTTTGACTTTGATCTGTCTTCCATAATATGTTAATTATATCTAATTTAATTTGCCTTTTTTTTTGCAAAGCTTTGCAGTTTGACTATTAAACTAAGTCACATCTAAAAACTTCATTGCTTACAACTATAGTTAAATAGAATCCTGTGACCACAGCTTGCAAATTGTGACATTAACAAATAATCTTTAAGGGCACAAACTACTCAGTGGCTACATTTAATTAATTTCAATGGCAACAGTAACACCAGTATATTTGAACCGTTGGATAAAATGCACATAGCCACTTTGGGTCTCTAATGTGCTTCCACTGATTTCAATGGAGACATGATCAATCAGTCCCAGACATAGGAAGTCTTCAATGGCACAACTCATACAATGCGGAGAGAACGTCACAGACAATCTTCTGTGGTGACAGAGGTTTATAATTAGGCTTGGAAGGATTCGATTTTTAATCAGTAGATGTCAGTAAATATTGATTTCATCATACACACAAACCAACAAAAATATTTCCATTGATAATAATTGAAATTTACAAATAGACAAAGAGAATGTACTAGAATTTATTTTGTACATTTTGACATGTGATGTCGACAATTTGTGTTTTAATTGTTATAAAACTTTAACTTTTTAATCTCAACATCTACATTAAATAACAATTATCTGTCACCCCTATTGTCTGACCCTCCCATAATTTCCCACAACTATGAAAATTTAATTAAATGATAATAAAAAATGCTTTAAAATAAATATTGATATTATCCATTAAAAAAATTGAATTATGCCAAGCCTATTTATAGTGGAAACCACAGGGAACAGACTTGCAGCTTTAATTAATCTCTTCATGTTATGATTTTACTTTTTCCAACACCCTTTAGTGCAGGCAAAGAATTACATACCTAAGATGACAAGTAAGGACATGTTTCCTATTACACCAAATGTTGTCAGTACAAGAGCTAGACAAAGAGGATGAGAATAAACTAAAATAATAACAACATTTAGCACTTATACTGCACTTTGCATCTTGAAAGAGCTGTAAAACATTAGTTCAATTAACTAAACTACGCATTTTACTAAATATTACAATGTCTACTTATAATCCAGATGCATGACCTAGTTCAACATTAAATGTCTAGTCTGATTCTTACTCACAGTTTGTTCACAAGGAAATCAAAAGTGAACCAAAAATATACTAATATTTACAGAGAGCCCTCCCTTGGAAGCAGAAAGAAGTTGAAATACTATGTTAGACTAGTCTAACTGTATTTTGTAAGTAGCACATACAGTGCTCAGTATGTAAAGTACAACCTAGAATTAATATCACTTATAGTCATTCTAAAGTTGCGTGTAAAGCTGCTCAAAATACAGCTGCCAGGGACACGCAGAACATGACTGAGCCAGATGCTATAGAAGCGTAAAGTCAACAAATACAAGCAGTCCATATGCTAACCTCTCCTAGAACTCATGGCCATCCAAATCCATAATGTCTTTTAAACAAACTTTTTTTTAAACAAATATACACGCCTCCTTGCTGAAGTGAAAAGTATTTTACTACATCCTGTTCCCTTTTTTTACCATCTGTACATGTTTATTCTGAACCTTCAAAAAGTCTAACATTTTACTAATCTTTATGAACAGACACAAAATAAAACAAAACAGTGAAACCAGCAACAACTGTTAAACTATGGTAACGTACTAGATGAAACACATCCAACCCACTCTTATTATTTCTGATCTTTTTTCTACGAAGAGACTGCCATCAGCTTTAGCAGAAAGCATGAAAGTCGGACTACCTTTACCATTGCCCAATCAAGATAGCACTCTCTTTCTCTTTCTCAGCCGATGTATATTTTAAATTACATTTCTATTAATATTTTTGATAAAACAAACATACTAGTCTGAATAGTGGGGTCAGTTGACCAGAAAGTGAGTTGATCAGGGGGGTCAATATTAGATATACACCCATTTTCTCAGTATACAAATATATTGTTATTTCTATTACTGATTCAACCTACTTCTTGCTACACACCAAAAGGAAAAAAAATGAGATACTGTATATAAGCGTGGCTGTCTTTTGGATGCTTTGGTGCCCACCAAAGTGCTGGATGGAATAGCACACACGCACAGGCACTCACAGTAACACAAACCAAACAACACAGGTACACTCACACGCTTACTAAAACACATATAGCCACCAACAGATGCATACATAGTCTTATATGCGTAATAATAAATATCAAGGCATACACACTAATTCTAACACATTTTCAAATATCTATGAAACACCACACACACAAAAATGACACAATCACAAATCAGCAAGCCTTCAAATGCATACAAACACATCACACACATACATCCTTAATCCACACAAACACAAACCTTCTCAAACACACATTCATGAGACAGATACACACCAACACAAAGGTATCCGGACGGACACACACACCACGATACACAGCACACACCTCCTCAATACACACAAACCTTCTCCAACACACACTCACGAGACGGAAACAAGAAACACGCCAACCCCAGTGCATCCCGGACGGACACACACACTCAAATGCCTACAAACACGCAGCAAGAGACACTCTTTGGCTCGTACACACGATCGCTCCCCACCAAACACAACCTCGGGCGCAGGCTGGCATACGGACACCATGCACACACACACACACACTCAGATTAAACACTCTAACACACACCCCATCTGTCTGTAACTCACACACACACGACTGATGGGGATGGATGGGCAGGAGCCAGCCAGCCCGGCCCCGCCAGCGGAGCGGGACAGTGGGTCCGGCTCCCATCACCCCCCAGCCCCAGCAGCAGGACCGGCTGGGCGGCCGCATCCCGGCCCGATCATCACTTACGTTCCCAGGGTCTCCTTGAACTCGAAGATCTTCTTGATGTCCTCGGCTTGCTTCTTCCAGGAGGCGCTGCCCTCCCCGTTCTCCCGGGCCATGGCAGCGGCAGCGGCGGCGCAGCTTTCCCGCCCGGGCAGGAGCCGGAGATGCTGAGTCCAGGGCGGGCAGGCGGGCAGCAGGCGGCACGGGGAGCTTTTGCTTTCTCTTCTGCTGCTGCTTCCTCTTTCCACCCTCTCGTCTTTCTGCTGCTCTCCCACTCAGACTTCCTGCTCGCTGCGGCGCCGTGTGTTTCCTCCTGGCTCCAGCGGACCCTGCTTCCCTCCTCTCCCCTCCCGGCGTCTTCCTTCCCTTCTCTCTTCCGTCCCCCCTTTTTTAGTTTTTCCTCCCCTCTTTCTTTCCCCCTCCCCTTTCCTTGTTTCCTCCCTCGCTTTTTCTCTCCTTCCTTCTTTCCTCTTTGCTTTTGTCCCTTTCCGTCCCTCTCTTCCCGTCTCTCCTTCCCCCCTGTCTCACCGATTGGGGCTGCTGCCTTCAAGGGGGATTTCCTTGGCGGGTTTTATCCCCCCCCCCGGTCAGTTTGCACCACCCCCCCCCCACCCGGGGGTTTCCAGCCAAACTCAGCAGCAGCCCGGCTGCAGGGAGCAGAGGACACTTGGAAGCTGCTGCTTGAGTTACTTTTGTTGCCCCCCCTCCTCCTCCAAGCAAAGCCCCGAGTCCTTTTCTCTCTCCAAGCGTGCGGCCCCCCCCCGCCCCGGGTTAGTTTGCTTGCAGGAGACTAAAGCGGGGGTTAGTGCGCGCCAGGCGAGCCTCGCTAGTGCGTGAGAGCCGCGGAGCGCGCCAGGGTCCCCGCCTTGTCTCAGGCAGCTGCCGCTGCTGGCCAGAGGGATTTCACTGCGCCGGCACCGTGGCGGTGGCTGGTTGTTATGGCAATGGGAGGCGGAGGGGAAAACAGCGCCCCCCTCCTCCACCCCCCAACTCCAGCCTCTCCTGCTGCCGCGCCGCCTGTCAGTGCCCCTCCTGACTGAATGACTGGCGATAATTCGCATTGCACCAAAACCGCGCACGTCAAACCCCCCCCTACACACAGAGCCCAGCCAGCCCGGAGGGGCGGGGGGCGCCTCCCTCCGCCTGCAAGGCGCGCGCGGGAGCCCCGAGCCCTGCAGGGGAGAGCCGCCCGCCGAGCTCTCCCGCCCGCTCCCCCCGGTTCCTGGCAGGCGCAGGGGTGAGTGCAGCAAGGGCAGGAATGCGACAGGGACGCTGCAGAGGGCCGGCGAGCCCGGCCTGGGAGGGGCAGCGAGCTGGGGGTCCAGCGCTTGATTTGACTGGACGTGCCAGGAGTTTTCCGCCGCCCGCTGCAGACTGCGCTGGAGCTGCCCAAGACCCCCTCACCGACCCCATTTTTCTGATTGGCCCAGGCAGCTCCAAGGCCTCGTTGCTAAGGGACTGTCAAACAAGGGGGCCAGATGGACTCCTATCCACTGGAAACTGCACTGTTGTCGGTCTTTGCATTGCTGTAGCGCCCAGATGAGGGGCAGAGGGTGCATTGTACAAGCACAGCAGGAAAAAAACCCATGGCCCAAAGAACTTGCAGTCTCAATAGACAAGAGAGACAAAAGCAGGGTGATTATCCCCATTTTGCAGATGAGAAACTGAGGCACCGAGGGACATTATTGACTTACCCAAGGTCACACAATAAGCCTGATCTCCTGAGTCTCAGTCCAGTGCCTTAGCAGCAAAATCATCTTTCTGCTCTAAAACTCAATCCCCCCTGAGTGTCTTTACATAGGCCACCAAACAACCTTCAACTCAAGGAAGGCATTGCTGGCGAGCACTGGGACAGATCATGCAGCTGACAGTCAGGAGACATGGATTCATATCTTCCACTGACTTAGTGAGAAACCAAGTTCAAATAGTTAACTTCTCTGTGACTCAGTTTCCCCACTAGTAAGATGGAAGTAAATAGGCTAGTGTTTTCAAAAGTGGGTGCCTAAAATTCGACACCTAAATCAGTAACCTAACTTTCATAAGCGTCTAGTAACTGGGGGTAGTCCTCTTGCCTTCTGTGGGTTTTGGATCAGGCCCAAAATCTGGCCCCTACTTTAGGAATCTAAATATGGATTTAAGTGTCCAACTTCAGGTACCCGATCTTAAAAATCTGGCCAACAATACTTACCCATATTTAAAAGGCATGTTGAGATTTTCACACAAAAAGCATTTTGTAAGTGAAAAATATTATTAATTACTACAGTAATACTACTAATTAGACGCAAAGTATTATTAATCATGACAGACGGGCTGGATTTCAGCCATCAATTTAGGGGTAAAAGTCACTGTAGCCCATATTGCCAATCCCATAACTGCCTCATGTAAATACTACCCTTGTCCTCTACCCCCCACCAACCACATGTATGATACTTGCCTTTTTTAATATAGTAAGTGACAAAGTTCACTCTCAAAGTGGAAAATAGTAATAGGGGTAAAGCTCAAAATGCTGTGAGATTCTTTAATATGTGTAAAGTTTTTTATAATCTTAATTTCAAGATTAGAAAACAACGTCAATAATTTACAAATATTGACAGTGAGATAACACCAGGATTTGGGGGACAGCAGTGGATTCATTTGGGTCAGAACTGAGATGCACCTCATAATGAGGGACAACCATGAGAGGTAGTATACTAAATTATTTCAAATTATATCGATCTAGATTACAGTCTCACAACACAATATGGTAATAAACTGGCTAGTTTGCATGTGTAATACTGCCCTCTACTGGATAGAATAAGTTCTGCTTAACTGTGTGTCATAGGCCTTACAGTATTAAAAGTTCTCCTTTCGCTCAAGGGGTAAGGATGTGGCAGTTCTTATGTTCATATCATCATCATAAGAATCAATAGAGTCATAGAATCATAGGAATTGTTATGGTCATCTAGTCTGACCTCCTGCACAACGCAGGCTAAAGAATCTCACCAATAAAATCTGCCTCAAGTTTATAACTTCTCTTTGAGGGCTAACATAACATAAGCTTCCATCACTATCATTTATGATGTCCCCATTTTGCACATCACGTTCTACATTTGAGTATGATCAGGCTGAGAGATTTTCACACGTCTCTATGCCTAGGCAATGCAACAGAAACTCACGCTACTTACAATTTTAGCTAGTATTGTGCATGCTGCAATTTCTAGGCACTAAAACTGGGTGAGTTAAGTTTTCTTTTGGCAATTTAACTCACACTCTTATCGTGCTAATATAATATACTTTTCTGTGCGCTAATAGAACACATATTTGAAATAACTAGTAAGGTAGGAATCCTCAGTAACCTTTACACTTTTAAGTACATCAGACACTACCATAAGCCAAGAATCATCGACACAATAGACCATATCAGCTCTTTCACAGTCATTACAGTCTATCATGTCAGGGTGAACTCAGAGAGACTGTAATACTATTTGATTGACATGATCCAAGAAAGATATTGTAGTATAGTTTAAAAAATGAAAAATCTTACCCTAAGGTGAAAGTATATAACAATACATGCTGGGGTAGAATGGCTATATATAACTATATTACATGTAATTATACACAAAAAGTACATTAAAATAACTTTATTAAGGTTGCAAAATCAAGCACTGAAATGTTAAGAAATACCAAAATTAAGGTTGCCTGTGCAACCTTAATTCGGCCCCTTTTAGAGTGTATATTATGATACAGTCTTTGATTACATGATCACAAACTATTTTTATTGCAGCTCTGCCTATAATAGATATTAGGTTATGGAGTCTTAACGGTTTATTTCGTCATCCTAAATGAGTGCCAATAAAACCTGTATACCACAGCATTCTATCAAGCATTCTCTAGCTACAACCTTACAGAAAAAAAATTGGGTCTGGGGTTTTTTTTTTGGCAAATGTTTTAGAGGGTTTTTCCTTCAATTTTTATTTGGACAGGTGTGTGCAGCATTGTAAAGGTGCACTTTTCTAAACTGGTTCAGAGTCCTCAGATGGGACCCCTTAACTCATCCTTCAAGTCCCAAGTTGCCTACCGACCCAAATTGTATTTTTATTCCATTTTTGCAGGTTAAAATGATCTAAGTCCTTACAGCATCGTAAATCAGTCTAAAGCCTTTGATCAGTTTAAGTTCTTTAAGATGATCTGAGGCCCTAGCTCAACATAAACTGCTAAAAACCAAGTCCCAAAACACACAAGTTGGGGACAAAAATATTATAAAAGTTTGGAGCTTATTCTGCTTTAACAATTGGAAGGGGCTTATGTTGCTGTGACGGGGCGCACTCACCCCACACTGGACAGGGAAGGGTTAACCCTACATTGTGGGTTGAGGAAGCCACACCCCCTTTACTTTCCTGGACATGCTCCAAGTGCACTGGTATAAAAGGGAGCAGCTCAGCTCAGTTGGGGCTGACTGCTGGGGAGGGAAGATGTGCTCTGTTGGTTCCAGCCGAGGATCAGCTGAAGCCCAAGGCCGTGGAGGCCAGAGATACTGTAACCCAAGCAGATACAAAGGTACCTACCGAGACCCTGCTGTGTCTGGAGTTGCAGGGGACAGTGCAAACAGGGGAACCCGGATAAAGCAGAGGTGCCCAGACTGCAGCAATGGGAACTATGGTAGGAAGCAGCCCAGGGGAATTAGATAGTGGCCTGGTTAGTGAACCGGTGTTGTGAGTCAGTGGGTTTATAATAATAAAATAAAATAATATATGGAGATATACCTATCTCATAGAACTGGAAGGGACCCTGAAAGGTCATTGAGTCCAGCCCCCTCCCTTCATTTGTGTTGCCCTTTTCTGAACCTTTTCCAATTCCAATATACCTTTTTTTGAGATGGGGCGACCACATCGGCAAGCAGTATTCAAGATGTGGGCGTACCATGGATTTATATAGAGGCAATATGATATTTTCTGTCTTATTATCTATCCCTTTCTTAATGATTCCCAACATTCTGTTCACTTTTTTGACTGCTGCTGCACATTGAGTGGATGTTTTCAGAGAACTATCCACGACTCCAAGATCTCTTTGAGTGGTAACAGCTAACTTAGACCCCATCATTTTCTATCTGTAGTTGGAGTTATGTTTTCCAATGTGCATTATTTTGCATTTATCAATATTGTAGGGAAAAAAACATGGATGGGAGCAGAGGGGGAGTAGAGAGGAGTCAGGAGGGGATGGGGTAGATAGGAGCAGAGTGTGAGGGGGGGCAGGAGTGGAGAACAGAGGGCTTGTAGGAGGGAGAAGTGGATAGCAACAATTACTAATTCAGATTTAAATCTACTAATTTTGCAAGCAGTGGGGTATGTGTGTGACCACCCCTTGGGTCCAACAAACACAACAAAGCACACCGTGGCCGCCCTAGGGCA